TGTATCTGATTTAGTGGTGAGTATCAGATGTTTGGTGGGTGAAAACGTCGTATTTGAGCCGTTTGGACGCCATAAAAAAAGTCAGATTTTATGGGCTTTGGGTCACATTTGCTTAAGACGCTAAGTTTTTTGAATGCTGCTGGAAAGACTTCAACTTGTTTTTGTTTTAACTTGTTAGGATGAAAATGATTAATTTGATCTCAGTCACTGGATAAATTACTTATTTCAGTTGTGTTCAAACTTTCTGCACCGCGGACCAAAATCACCAAGACAATCAAACAGTGGCCATATTTTTTCCAATTAAAAATGCTAAATAATTTTTTGTAAATTGATAGTAATTGTGATTTAATTGTACAATATATTCATGAAACAAAATAGAAAGTTTGCACTAAAAACTGATGTTTTCAGAGTTTATTTTTAAAAAAGATGTCTAGGTTTTCTGTTTGGTTTAGAAAATGTTTTTAGTCTAAACTCAGCAACAAAAATGAGAACTTTCTTCTAAAATGCTTCCTGTGTTTAGCCAAGTTTAACGACTCGGATCTGTTCAGTAAAAAGTCCCTGAATGTTTGTGGCCTGAGTCATAAAAAAACATGGGTGAAAAAAAAAAAAATCTTTTTTTTTTTTTTTTAAATCTTATCCTAAAAACATAAAAATCAGCTTCATTTGCAGCAGAGTCAAATTTAAATCGCTCCTATTCTCATAAAAATGTATCCAAGAGCCACAAATGGCCCCTCGGCCACACTTTGGATTATTATCCAGGATCCATATTTTCTTTGAATTCAAAGCAGAAAACGTTAAATCATTTTTTATTCATTAATTTATTACAGGTTATATCATTAATTCAACAACGTCTTAATTATGTTTTTCTGATATCTTGCAGCTGTATTTCTGCACTAAATAAATCCTTAACTCACTCAAACTGCATGTTGCATCACCAGTCAGTCAAAACCCCAAATAAGTAATTAAAAGCCCAAAATGGACGTGACATTCAAGCGAAGCTCATGCAAACCTTCAACCAGAACTAAAGAGGTTTTTATTTCTTGAACTCTGAACTTTGGAGGGTTAAAATCCTCTTTGTTAGCAGCCAGGCTCTCACAGCATGTGATCTGTGGTAATTAGATAAAGTTTTTTTGATAATGTATAACTCTATGGCGCATGTAGACGCTCCTCCTCTGGATTACACCTGAATGTAGTCTGTGACACGCAGCTGTTCTCGCCTCAGGAGAGCGCTAATCCAGCTTTAATCTGCTCATTTCATCAAACATCGCCGTGACGCTTCCTGTCTGAGCTGATTAGCTCCAGGGGCTTTCTCACAGTGACGTCGCAGCCGGGCCAATTAATTTCTGCCAGGGCTGACGAGCCGTCAGTCATCGCTTCTCATTAAGATGTGAATGCGATAGGAAGGAAATCCTGCTTTACTCCGTTGATAATTATAGTTTTTTCCCCCTGTTTATTCGCTTATTGTCAGCTTTATTTGTCACGCAGCCAGTTGATTTGTTTAATTAAGTCTAATGAGGTGTTTCTGAGCTGCTGATTCATATCTGCTGTTTTGACATTCAGGTGAAATGTAGGTTGCAGTTGGAGGACACAGTGATTTCCGTTCTCGGTTTTACCAATAAATCACTAACTGAATCTGTGGATGATTTGATGGACTAGGCTTGGACAGAGCGTTCTTATTAAAACGCCATGTTTGGGTTTCGGTTTTGATAACTTCTTAAAAGGCAATAAGCTTTTAGTTTATTAACTCCTCTGGTTATAAAGAGGCTTTTTATCCAGAACAAAGATAAAAAACAAATAAAGCTCAGTGAAAGGATGCGTCTGTGCCAGCTTCTTTTATTTGCTTTCGTTCCTATTGTAACTGAGTATCTGTGCAACTCGAGGAGACAACAACTTTGTAGTTTTCTGTGTGGCTCTGGGTGCAGTTCCAGTGAATTGTTGTCTCATATTGCTGTGAAGGTTGTTTTTCAGTATCGGTGATCTGGGTGTGATCATGCTGAGACTGGGCTGTAATGTTTCTGGGCATGACGCGCGGTAATACAACAGAGGAAGAATATTAAAAACACATTTCAAGGTCCGACTGCATGAAAACACATTCAGCGAGAAACGACAAACAGGACTTTACAGAACAGAATAACACTGAACGTCTTTATGTTTCTTCCAGGTTGTAATTTGTGTGTTTCTCAGCTGCTTTGCTGTTCATTATCAATACAGCTTTTCAAGTCCATAGTTAACGAACTGCAGGATGTACAGTCAGTTTCAGGCTTTCAGCTGTTGCCATGCTAATGTTTTGAATGTGTCTGAAGACATTTAGCTTCATTTGTGACAAGAAATTTGAGCCTAAAAATATGACCTTTCGTATTTTTATTGTTCTGTTTCTTAAAATCAGTAATTAACCCGGCAGATGTTATTGGACTGTGGGGGTTTAGGGTAGCATGACCTGGAAAGGTGTGAAGACGCCCAAAGAAGAAATGTTATTCTTCATTTATTGTTATTTACATCTCCAGTTGATGTGAATGTGTGCCCAACTATGGTTCTGATGACTTATAGGGAACCTACTACTCAAAATTAACTTTTTAAAATAGAATAGTTCCTTATTAATCCCACAGTGGGGAAATTCACTTGTTACAGCAACACAGTAACAAAATATACCCCATAAATCAATGTTAAAAACAATATATACAACATTTTGTATTTTCATCTGGGTCTCTACTGCTTCTAGAAACAGTCCAGTTGCTAAAAATAAGTTAGTATATTTTAGTGTCCGGAAAACAATCAGTTTCAAAAAGCTTCCAACTGCCAGGCTCTGCCCCGTTACCTAGCAACCACGGCAGAGCCCAGCCCCGTTACCTAGCAACCCAAGCTCAGCCCAGCCCCGTTACCTAGCAACCACGGCAGAGCCCAGCCCCGTTACCTAGCAACCCAAGCTCAGTTCTAACATGTCTGGTTGGCTGATTTTACCTGCCTTTTATCAACCATTCAAACTGTGCAGTGATGTAATGGTGGACATTAATGAAAAAGGGTTATGAGTTGTTTTATACATTGTTCATGAATACCTGACATTTGTTGTTTAGTACTATTGAGAATCATTTTAATATCTCCTCAGACAGTTTGGCGTTTTGACATTTATTTATTTATATTTTGTGATTGTTGGAGGACATTAAATAAACTTTTGTCTAAAGTTTTTCTGTGTTCCTTGTTTCTGCAGCTGCAGTTGTCCTCAACCTGAATAATACCGTCTAAATCAGCTTTCTCGGCTCTGTTGCTATTGTCTATTGTTAACTGTGGCAGAAACAATGACGACTATTGTTTGAATGCAAATGTTCAGTAATGCCTATGAAATCTGCCTGGAACAATTGCTCATATAGGCGGTGCTGACCCATATAAATCGTATTTTCTCCTGCTCAGAGGAGGACGGTTGCCTCCTCCCAGTTCAGATTATTGCCATAATGTTGGTATATAGCTGCAGAAGAAGCGCCTCATTGCATGCACTGACATTGTGCAAACTCTATTAGCTGTGTAGTGTTGCATGGATTCACCATTGGGCCTCCTTTGGTTCATCAGTGTCCTGTATGTCTCTTGGTGCTGTTCGTCCCCACAGCCAGTGTTTGTAGTTTGTCTTACAAGAGAAGAATGACTAATTGGACTGCAGGGGCTTTGCAGATCTTCAGCCTTTCTGCACCCAAAACATTATTATATCATCACAGTTTCACTGACCTCAGGGTCCTTGGAAAACAATAATGATAGTGTTTGTTTTTTTTAATGATGAGCTCTGATGTGTTCGCCTTCTGGCTTTCAGCTGTGTGTTTAAAGCATCAGAAATACAGCTTTTAATACATCTTTAATGCATTTAAGTCAGTTTTTCTGTTAAATCTTGGTCTCAAATGGAATTTCTTAAACCTGGTGGAGAAAAAAATAAATTTATATATATATATATATATATATATATATATATATATATATTATATAAACAATTAGTCATGATGAATCAGTTATTAAAATAATTGTCAACTAATAAGGAGCAACACGTTTAGAACAGTAATTTAGCCAAAAATTATACATTTTGCTTTTAAATTGAAAAAATAAATAAAACAAAGTCCTTTGTCTGTAGATATGTTCTAACCAGAAATCATCAGGTGCCGTAGTTTTAGTTTCACCTGGTTCAAGTTAAGATAAAAAAAAAAGTTAAATCTTATATTAAGCACCTTTTGCTATCCAGTTATTAATCATTTAATCCAAAAGACAGTCAACAGCTCAACTCTGCTCTGTATTGATGTTAAATCAAACATAAGTTCAAATTACACTAAAGGAAGCTTAGAGTATTTTATTGCATTGTATTTTAGGCAATAAAATGTTTACCTTCTTATTTAAAAAGGAAATTTAATTATTTGTTTATTGCATCTTTTTATGTATTCTAGTACATTATAAAAAAGTTTGTGGTTAAATAAAAATGTTTTTCTTATCCGTTTAATGGTCAGAGTAATAAATAGGATAATACATTACTAAAATAATCGTTAGTTGGAGCCCTATTTTTTATTTTAATTTATATTTTTTGTGATTTACCTATGTAGCAATAAGCAGTTGATAATTCATAAACAGGAAGATGACTTCTTTATTTATTATTATTATTTTATGTATTTTTTTTGTTATTATTTATATAAACATATACAACCAACCTCAGAAAGGTACCATAAAGTATCCATTATGTAGTCACAACACATGCATAATAAAAACCAATAGAACTAAACAAAAACAAAACAAACAAAAAAGACTTTAGCAGGGCAACTTAAATATACAACATAAAAAAAAAACAATTCAGGGAAATACATTAAAGTGTGCATGTTTTTAAAAAATAAGTCACTTTGAAAGCATTTTTTGACTTCACCAAACCTACCAACTTATAAAACAAATTTAACTCATAACAATAAACAGAAACTACTACTGCTTTGTCTTCTGGAACGTTCAGACTGACGCTGTGCTCCTGTGTGCCTCGTTGTTTTAAGGGAGCAGCCCATCTTCAGCACCAGAGCTCATGTCTTCCAGATCGACCCGGCGACCAAACGTAACTGGCTGCCGGCCAGTAAGCACGCCGTCACCGTGTCCTTCTTCTACGACGCCAGCCGCAACGTCTACCGCATCATTAGCGTGGGAGGGACCAAGGTGGGGAGCCCAGCTCACACACCTGACACTGTGGATTTATGTTTCTGTGTGAGTTCAAGGGTGAATGTGGAAGGATAGCAGCTGATACTTAATCTGATTTTAATTTTTTTACTTTTAAAGAAATTGACCAACTTCTTGCTCGAAGAAGCAGTTTTCTTGATTTAGGGATGATGTAAACAATTATTTTAGGAACTGAATAACTCATTGATTTTTCTGATGATTGAGTAGCTGAATAAAAATTGTTCTCTTCTGTAGTAGCTACCTAAGTTACATAAAAGAGAAAAAACAATTCAGTTCCTTTTTTAAAATGAAAACATTGTAATGCTTAAAAAGCCGTATGATTAAAGTTTGAAGCATAAAAAAACTTATGAGAAGAACAGATGAGAAGTAAAACATTTTGAAATTCAAATACTTTATTAATCCCAAAGGGAAATTAAATGTTGTAGCTCATTAATCCAGATTCTTCACAGAGTTATTGAATACGGTGATGTAGCAGTCTGTGCTGCAGCGCATCTGAAGACGCCTCTGACTGAAGTTAATTTCAGTTTAACTTTTAAACATTAGAGATGAAAGTTAAATTAAGACATTAACAAACTCTACCTTATGTAATGCACTTCATGTTCAGTCTCAGCTTTAGAAGGTGGAAAATGATTTAAAATGTTTTCTTTTTTCAGGTCATTACTCGTCCTGATCAGGAAGTACATGTCAGATTTCCTTGTGTGTGTCAAAAACATCACCTGTCAGTAACTATGAATGAACTGGATGCATGTAGTGGATGTTTTCCTAGAGTTTAAGTTGAACCCGAAACATCCTTGAATCATTCAGTGAATCGTTACAACCCCAGTGAAGATGGTCTGCTGTGGTCAAAATGTTTTTAGAGTCTTCAAATAAAGGAGGGTTTGGCTGCCATGGTTAGCACGCTGCGCATGTTGTCGGAATAATATTTCTAACCCATTTCTCTTGTTAGCGCAGCGTCCTGTGCGTTAGCTTAAAGCTCCCGGGACTCTAGCAGAACGTCTTCATCTTGGGGCAAAAAATAGAGAACACACAAGACAGTTGTGCCAGTTTTCCCCTCTGAGACTGGAGGCTTTTGGAGGGGAGACTAAAAGAAGCAAATCTGGCAACAGATGCACCTGAAACGACTGAATTCACTGGAGGATTTTATAGAAACAACTCCGCTTTAGCACATCAAGCTTTTCCTCTCTTTCTGCGCCCTGGCTGTTGGGAACTTGTTTCTATTTGCGGCTCTTAAATTAGCTCGTATATCTGAAAGGAGGCCTAAATAAAGGAACAATCGGTTAAGTAAACTAGTATTTGCTATGAACTGCAGCTGGTAACTCTCAAAAAAATAAAATTTCTCCTCTTCTGCTTCTTCTGATGTCTTGTATTACCAGTGAAACACAACATGTTTAAGATGCTTTCATGTCTTGTTGGGGGTTTTTAAACATGGCACAAGCAGCAGGGAACACATTAAAGATAACTACAGCCTTGGAGATTATGAAGCAAAGTTCATTCAAGATTTTAGGGGAAACTTGGGAGGCGTGGACTGCAGCTGGAGCTTCAAAGGCCGCCGCACACAGATGTTTCCAGAACTGGGCTCCAGCTGTCATATTCTTAACCAGAGACGGCGCCAGAAGCATCTAATGACCTAAACTGAAACATTTTCTCAGTTCATCCCAACCTTTCTGTTCAAATTAAAGTAAAAAACTGTAATAATTTTAGAAATCAAGCAGTGTGAGTGAGTGTTGGCCTGATGGATGTCAGGAAACCTCAGAGCGATCCAGGATCCCCTCTAATCACAACATCTGGTTCTGGAGACGTTGATTTAATTTTCCAGCTGGACTCAGTACCGGCCTAAACCATTAAAGCACCTAGAATGACTTTAATCATGATGGTATAACTGGGATTGGTTGGCCAGCAAACTCACCTGATGTGAGCCCAATACAGATGTTGTATATAAAATAAATTCACAGCCATTTTTGCTTTCAGTCCAGCTAAATAAACTCGTTTTGAGCTGCAAATGTCTCAGGATCTTTCAAAAATAAATAAATGAAAACATAAAAATAATTTTTTATGTAGTAAATTTGCTGTCATTTTTTTAAGAACTAAAATTTCATTTCTATTTCCAGGTTTTAAGTGGAGAAAAACAAAACTTTTGAATAAATATGGATGAGATGTTCTATGAGATGTTGATATTTGTGGAAAATTGTTTTTTTTTTATTTTAAAAAAAGCAAATAATTTCTACCCTGATGACAAGAAAATTAGATTTTAAAATGTATTACTGGAATCTTTGTATGATTGAATTGAAATATTTTTTGTAAAGTGCATCGAAACGACCAAACGGATGCAGTAATTCATGCAAAAGGACCCAGAACTCAGCGCATTAACTGTAAATGACATCAACATACATTTTGTTAGGTCAATCTTTCTGTTTTAAGAATTATGATTTGTTGCCTTTAGATCCTCAGATTTTGTGAAAAACTTTAATTTATGTGATTTTATTCTCTGCAAGTTACAAAACAGACATACTAGTAACAGAAGACAAGAAGGAAAAAAGGTTAAAATACTGTGTAAATAAATGCCTGGTGTCATTTCTCCTTCATGTGTGGCTCTTACAAAACCAAAAATAAATGTTTTAGACTGATCATTTTTCTTTAAGTTCTAATCCAATATATGCAAAAGGCTTTTAAAAGTAAGTAGCTTCACTTTTCTTTATTTTCCATATTTATAGGAAAGGCTCACATCATTCTAAAAATTTATTTATTTATTTTTTTAAATAAAAGGTTAATTTTGTTCTAAAATGTGAAAATATAAATAATTTTCAGTTTAATTTGTTAGCTATAATGAACAATAATTTTATGTTGTTCTTGTTTAGAAAATCATCACTTAAAAACTACACAAATATTTTTCCTAACCCAACTTTGATGTGTTTTTATTATTTTTCCCAGGCCATCATCAACAGCACCATCACCCCCAACATGACGTTCACCAAGACGTCCCAGAAGTTCGGCCAGTGGGCCGACAGCCGGGCGAACACCGTCTACGGTCTGGGTTTCTCCACGGAGCAGCAGCTGCAGCAGGTACAGACGGCGCGACGCCGTACCGTAAATATGCTTGTAGGAGTGTACAAACATATTCAGGTGGTGTCTGAAAACTGACCTTTTCTTCTTCCCAACCAAGCTTCCTTTGGTGGCATTAATTTATATTCCGCTTCTGACCTTTTTTGTTTTGCTTCCTCTTCAGAATTTGGATCTTAATCTGCATGATGCATAAGCACAAATGGAGGACAGATACCGCATCGATACAGCGGTAAATTCATCCAGTTTTAAAGATTCAGAGTCTGAAGTCTCCTTTTTCTCCTCCTCCACATGAAGTTTGCAGAGCAGTTTAAGGAGGTGAAGGAGGCGGCTCGTCTGGCCAGAGAGAAATCCCAGGAGAGGTTTGAACTGGCCAACCCCGGACTCAACATCGCAGCTCCTCAGGTAAAAGTTTTCCTCTTTCTCTGGCTCATTAGAGCTAAAATACATGCACTACGCTCAGTTAATTCTAAGGAACTAAAGAGTTTTCCCCAGAAATCCACCAAAGTGGCTCCGCTGTGTCTTTGTGTTAAAAATGTGAAAAGTTAACAGGAAATTTTGGAAATAAAACATGAACAACAAAGAAAACAGCAGTTTTAAGTAAAGCTACTGCTTCTGTAGGCTGTGTATGTGCAATATAATCAAATGCATGTGGAATACGCTTCTAACAGCAAATCGCATCTGATTAAAAAGACATTTTCTACAAAACACTTGGAAATTTCCTCTGAAAAAAATTCCTTTGAAAACCCTTTCAGGTTTTGGATCTGCAATAAATATCGGGCTACTTTATTTGCTTGATTTTAGATTGGTGTTTTTTTTTTGGCTTTTGACTTTTGAGTCGACAATTTTGGCCATCCAAAGTTTGGACAAAACTATAAGCATAACTCCTGTAAAAACTACAGCGATACTGTGTGTTTATGTGGCCGTCTGCTGGTATTACTGGGTCGACTAAATATAATGAACTACTTTTCATTTGAGTGTTTGTTATAAGAACTTTCTTATCCTGACAGGCTTATGAAAAATAGAGACAGAAATTCAGGTTATATCCCCCAAACTGAGAAGCGCTGCATCACTGTCCACTGGTTTTATAGCGAGTCCTGCACAGGAGCTTTAATGGCGTCTATTTCTGTTCACTGGACTCATGATGGGAGCTTCTGGTGTTTTAAATGAGTTTTATCACTTTTAATTTGTCCGTTTTTATTAACTTTAGCCTTTTGTTTGTCCTTATTGAAGCTGGTGCAGACAGAGATTCCTCATGAACGTAAGAAATTCATTATTCTGAGGCGTTTTAAAGTGAAACGTGACGAAAGAGCAGCTGGGATTCTGGGGTTTCATTAAACTATTGATTAATTTATTAAACTATTGATTAATTTATTAAACTATTGATTAGTTTATTAAACTACTAATGAGATCCATGATTCAGACAACATCCATTCATCCGTCCGTCCGTCTGTCTGTTTGCTCTCTTAATCCCGTCCTGTCTGTCTGACCTCGGGGTCGCCATGGCAGCAGAGTGGTAACATCCTGCACATTTATTTCTATTTGAAACTCACACAGACCCACCACGGATGAGATAAATCCCCGTCTGGATGCTCCATTATTCCCTCATCGGTTAACTCCATTAAAAGATTTCATGCATTACAAATGGAGATCGTTGGCAGTAAAAAATGTCGGCACTGAAGGTGTGCTGACGGGCAGTAATGAGTGAAACTGAAGAAAGACGAACGAGGGATCAGGCGGACGGAGGTTAAAGAGTGAGCTGAATCATCTATAATTGAAAGGAATCTGGCTGCTGCAGGAGCAGCGGGCAACTTTCATCCTGTCAACGCTGCTGGTTTCTTAGTAAACTTGATGACGTTCAAGTGAAGACAGAAACATTTTCTCCAAAATCCTTCCGCCACATTGTTTAACACTTTATTTAAAGGGATTTGAATAAGACTGACGGGCTGCACAGTGGAGCAGTGGGTAGAACCATTGCCTTGCAGCAAGAAGGTCCTGGGTTCGATTCCCGGCTTGGGGTCTTTCTGTATGGAGTCTGCATGTTCTCCCTGTGCATGGTGGGTTTTCTCCGGGTACTCCGGTTTCCTCCCACAGTCCAAAAACATGACTGCCAGTTTAATTGGTCTCTCTAAATTCTCTGTAGATGTGAGTGTGTGTGGTTGGTTGTCCTGCCTGTCTCTGTGTTGCCCTGTGACAGACTGGCGACCTGTGCAGGGTGACCCCGCCTTTCGCCCAAAATGTCTTGCTGGAGATATTTTGGACTTGTCCCAACTCCACTTGGGACAAGGTGTACAGAAAATGGATGGATGAATAAGACTGATATGACACTGTCATATGCATGAAGGAGACTGAATGATTGACTGTTTTATGAAGTGTCATTCAGTAAATGGCACTTCTAATGGACTTTTAATGCAACTTGTAGTGCAACTCTGCATTAAAAATGTCATTATTTACCAAATGACACTTCAAAACAACGGTACTAAACATTCATGAAGACTCCTTCATGTTCTAGGCAGTGTAATGTCAGTCTTATGCACACCCCTTTGCATAAAGTGTTACCCCACAGGTGATAATAACAGACAGAAACATGTTTTTCTGCAGCAGAATAAAACTCAGATTTCTTGGAAACGTCAGGAGGGCTTGGATTCATTCTGCAATATTGTAGAGATAAATTTCACATAAAAAGGTTTTGAAATCCCAGCGTTGCTGTGATTGTTTATTAGCTTCCTCTGCCAAGTACGAGTGTGCCTCCTTGGAGTCTCAACATGGATCCAAAACAGACAAGTGTTTGTTTTTTGCGCTGCGGTTTGAGCGCTGTGTGTAAGTCTTAACAAAGAGCCACTCAGCAGGTCTGTGAGACTGCAGAGTCACGTTGCCAGCAGCGGCCTGGACTCTGAAACGCTCAGATAAGCACTGATGGTTTGTCTCTGCTATTTATTTAGCCCAGCTGAGAGAAAACTCTCCTGGACGCAGCGACACTCGAAGCATCAATACCGATAAGATCAGCTGCTCGAGACAGCCAGAGCAGAAATGGAGCAATATTTTATCACAGTGTGTGACATTTAATGGCCACCGCGTGGTAATAATTGTTTTAAACTAAGCTGGTGCTTTCCCCAGGGCGTTGTTGCAGAAATGAGCTGCAGAGGAATAAATGAAAGCTTAGCAGGTTCAAGGTCAAAACGTTTTCTCGCTGAGTTTTCATCTGCGATGCTCTATCACGTTAAAGAATAGGATATAACACTTTTATTGACGTTGCATTTAAACACAATGAGAAACAGATAAAGTTTCCACATTAACAGCCCAGATGATGGATTTGTGCGGACTGCTCTAAATGGGTTTCCTGGAGAATAAGCCCGGCCTCAATCAATATTACTGATAACTTAATCTAATATGAGCAGGGAGCGATGTAGTAGATTGCTGTTGCTACTAATAATAAAGTTTGTGCCATCTGGGTCACACTGTAGCATAAGCAGGGTTCTGGTGCTGGAAGATAAAACTGTTATGAATGAAGCTATTTTTACTAGAGAGGGTTTTTCCATTTATCTATGAGGTTGGTGGAGCCGATTCCAGTTTGATTGATTACTTTTTTCTAAAGATTGTGACACATTAAAGGAAAAAGAATTGTGCAGGTTCAATATATGAGGGAATTGCATGATTATCCTGATTCATGCATCAATTTTTATGGCCCTAATTGATCTTTTGTTTACCTCAAAAATATGCATCAAAATTATTTGCTGTTGTTTTGTGCATTTATACAATGAAAATTCAACATGTTCAATGTTTGACCTGCTGTTGAGGTCAAATTGGCTCAAATTCAACTTATAAGTTTTCATTTTGGTTCAATATTTCTTCCTGTTTCCTTAACACACACACACACACACACACACACACACACACACACACACACACACATTTACCACAATATTAGAGTTTCTGAGGCTTAGTGGCAAACACCAAAAGTTAAACCTGGACTTATTAATTCTTAGCTAACTTGTAAAAATAAAGTTCACGACATCAAATATGGAAGAAGAGAATACTTATGGTTTTTTTTGTTTTTTTGTTTTTACAGTTTGACAGTAAACATGTATATAACATGTAATAACCACAAAAATGTCAAGTATAAATCCTATGAAACCTCAGGATTTAGCTGCATAATTTGGCTCTTGTGCATTATTGAATAATTTCAAACCTTCCTGAAAAAAGAAAACTGGATGAATGGTATTAACTTATGCTGAAACAGGCTTACAATTAATTAAGGTTTTTTGTGACTTTTATGTTAAATTCCCATAATTTGTTTTACTGAAATTACATAATTTAACCAGAACATTAATATATAATTCCTAATGTCATGGTAATGTTGCAGACCAAATAGAAGAGAATAGATCCTCTTATAGATTTTTTTTTTGCATTTCTGTGTAAAAACCATGACAAATATAAATATTTATTTTCCTTTGTGAGAAACTCAAACAGGCCTTGAACAAACCCACCATGTTGAGACTAAAGTGGAGATTTATCTTGTACCTGGTGGGTTGCCTGCTGGAACCCCCACTTTATTTGTGTCAGTAGTTGTGACCTTG